CATTGCGCTGTCGAGATTTATCTATAAAAAGTTGAATGCGGTGGCTCATGAACCGAAGTTAAATTCTTTCTGGTACACTTGTATTGGAGATAACTCTAGACACATATTTCTGGTGTTTTTTTAACAAAACGTTAGATTTCCACTATTTCAACATCATTGGTCTATCGTAATTGAGAAGCAAAATCCCCTAAAAGTTGGGATCGCATAAAGAAAGAGCCTTGACACGTAAATCTCTTCTAATTTATTTTTGTTGTAATTCAAACATTTAAAATTTTGTCTCCAGTCAAAATCTGTGCCGCACAAACTGGATCTGAGGTGGTAAATCGTATATTTCCATTAGATATATTTTCCAAGTCCAAACATTTTAATTTCTGCATCCTTCATTCGTTTTCAAACACAGCATTAATTTCTATCACTTTTCCTTGAACTTAATCTTAGTTCTCTATTACTTTGAAGGACCCAAAATATTGTTACTTAGATCGGGGTTTGAGAATTCCATCTCATAGAGCAAAACAGTTCTTCAGGAGCGATGAAATTTACTGTGGAAAAACAATCCTTAAAATACATAATATTCTACTAAAATTCATTTAATAAATCCTTGTAGGTTTTCACACCTTCTACCAGCACTCAGACACGGAAAAATACTTAACAGTGTCAAAAAATACGTAATGTTTATTCGCAAGCAACTACTCGCTAGTGAACTTTTCGCCAGTGACTCAATTCCAGCTAACAACTTCTATTTATAATCTGCGTGGCTGTCTTCTAGATCTTTCCCGAAAGATCCTCTTACTTATAGATAGCACAATGTTAATAGATTTCTCCTGTGATTTCCAGAAGCCTCCATATGCTATCCAACTCGCCAAAAGCTATACCAACTCGGCTGTATCGCCAATATTGTGTCGAGTTTCGATTGAAACGTCATTATTATGCAACGGACAGCGTTACTTGTGAACATTACAATTTTTATCATAAAATAAATACAGCAGAGTAATATTAACGTATTACACATCCAGATATAAATTATTCACACTATTTTAAGCATTCATTGCAAAAAATGGGAGACTATGTGTTTCTGTATCCATCACCCGTTCGTGTTTGAATGATCGAATTCCTTTATCTAGAACAGGGGGGAACCCGCGGCACGCGAAGACTCAATAAAGATTTTTAAAAAATTTTAAATAAAAAAATAATAACTAACCTTTTTTTTAACAATTTTTTATAAATGATATTGTTTAAGATGAAAAAAAGGAGTTACAATAGAAATTTATGGTGTGGAAAAAATGCACCTGCATTGGTGTACGAGTTGGCTTTGAAAATCCTTTTTCACTTGCGAGATTTTGGAATTTGAGGGAGCGTATTTTAAAATATCTGGAAGAAAACACCGAACTGCCCAGTGAGTATTTGCTATTCTAGAATGAAGATTGGCCATATGATTTAGCTTTTATTTCCGATATTATGGGACACTAAAATAATTTAAATTTAAGATTACAGAAAAAAATATTGTATTTTTCCTACCCTAGTTGGTCATACACCTTTTGTGGACAAACTTTTGCTTTTTTTATTTTGTCTTGATTTTGGAGAGAAAAAAATTAACATATTTCACATTAATGTAGGAACTATCTACCAAAGTTAATAGTTCTCCGAGCAGATAGATTTCAAAATGCAATATCTATTTTTACAGGATTCTTTCAGTGCTAGGTTTGATGATTTTCAAGATGATAAATAAGTGCAGATCTTTTCACTAATCCTTTTGCAATTTCTGTACAAATTGTGAATTGCTACCCTCCTGAAATTCAAATCGAAATTATTGTTTATATCACCATACTACACTGAAAAGCAAATAGAACAAATAGAAGGAATCATGCTTAATTTTGGAAATATGTGCAAACAAACAATTTTTTTTAATTTACACGATTTGGCTGTCAGATATTACTGTAGATTTGAATCAACATACGTTTGTGAACAAACATTTTCTATTATGAACATAACAAAATCAAAATATCGTTCAAAATTAACTAAACTGATTAACAATAATTTGAATTTGTGCTTTGGTCTTATTTATGATTTTATTTTTAAATTTCTACTATTTATACTTTCATTAAAAATGTGCTTTTTGCTAAGAGTTACATAATAATCTTCAAAATAACATTTTTTTCATCTTTTCATTTCTTCGAAAGTTGGAAGTGTGTGTGTGTGTGTGGCACGTATAATTATTTTTTATCTGAAAGGGGCACACTTCCTAAAAAGGTTGGCCGCCCCTGATCTAGAAGTTTGGGACACTTCCAAAAACAAAAATCATATAATGGTGTTCGAGTGAAAAACAACAGGATTACCAGTTGTTTATTTAGCAATGCAAGTTTAAACTATAAAAGAAATTTTAAAACAAGATTCAAATAGTGGCTGTTCTTCAAATATACCTCATTCAGACCTTTTTTAAATAGTTAACAATACAAATACACTTAAAAGGGAATCTTGTTCATTAACGTCGAAGCCACACGAGGGCTATTCTTGATTTGCAAGAAGACCGTCTGGGTGGCGTAGTTGGTTTATCGCTGACCTTGTACACCTAAGGTTGCGGGCTCGACCCCGGCCAAGTCGGGGGATTTTCATGATGCAGAAACTCGACAGCGTCCATATCGTATGATTGTGCAGCATGCAAAAAATCTCCTGAGAGCCTGTTTGGATTGGGTACTCTTGGAAAAATTATTTGCCGAGAGTACCAAAGCTAAACAGGCTCTCAAAGCCAAACAGGCTTATGATTCCGCCTCGTCATAGCTCATATGCCTCCCACTGGGGAGGAAACTAGGCGTCAGAATTACTTGCGGTGATTGGTACTCCATCTCTAAAAAGAGATACCAGCTCCCAGAGTGCGATGGTAAAACACCAATCCGCAGCCCCATTAGAAATAAAAAAAAATAACTGCACAAGGATGAATTGTCCGAATTACGTTGTCTTTTCTTTCGATAAATAAAAAAAAAGAATAAAAAATTAATTGGTTTTAAAATGCTTCTTGTTTTCCATGCGATTGATAATTTTCAATTTAATTTTAAAGACAATAAAAGTCTCTGATTGGATACATTTTCGATTCTCTGCCTTGGTCTAACTCTAGAAAGATTTCTTTCTTTTTTGTGATTTATCTAATTCAATGATTCTCAGCCACTGTGTGTCGCCAAATTTTTTAAGATTAACTATATTCTGATTAAAAAAATTTAAAAAATCCAGAACCGAGTCATTCTGCCGTTTTATAGAAATAAACTATGCAGAAAATTGTTATTGACCATTTGACAACACTGGAGCAGAGAGCTATTCATTATTTCCTAAATTTAGCTGTGAAAAAAGTTTGATTGCCTTCGTAATCCATTTGTTATAACGGACATATGCATTCACTTTGAATAAAGAGAAAGAACTCATTTCGCTTTGTAATAATCGAGATCTAATTTCAAAACATTCGTAACAGTTAATTAATTCATTTTGGATTAAAAAGAGGAGATTATCCCATAATAGCCAAACAAGTTTTAAAATTATTGTTACAGTTTTGTATATTTTATTTGTGAGGATTCGGATTTTCAGCCTTAACAAATATTTTTTTTTTCCAATGGGCTGCAAATTGGATTTTTACCATTGCAGACCTAGTACATTCCCCGGAAGCAGGTATCTTTTTTTAATGCTGTACCCTATAGGCGGATACCAATCACCGCAGGTAATTTTACGCCCAGTTTCCTTCAGAGGGAGGCACCTGAGCTCTGACGGGGCGAAATTGTCTTACGAATTTAATTTTGCCGAGAGCACCCTAGCCAAGCGGGGACTCAAGGGATTTCTTACATGCCGGATAATCATACGACATGGACGCTGTCGATTTTCTGCATCCTTCGGGAATTTCACCGAGCCAAATCGTACTGTCACCTGTATAGTTCACCCTTCTCAAAGATACGGCTAACGATAGGCGTACTACTAGCCCCCTTGTCACGATGAATTTCGTGGGCCTTGATCTGAAGTTACTGTCGATCAGGCGGCATAAGTAACAACAGCAAAATTTCAACTTAATCTTAAGTTTTGTGTAGCAGGATATCAAAAATTATATCAGCAACTTGAGAAAACAAAACAAAAAATAGCCGTTAATAACAAACTTTATAACAACAACAAAAGTCAACTGAGGCCGTTCATAACGAACGAAATTCTCCATTTGAATCCAAGCCAACAGTTTCTCGATTCAAATTCATTGGCAATTCATTTTTATGAGTAATAAAAATAAAATGTTTTTTAAATATGTAACATGGCTAACATTATTACTTTTATGCACAGTTTTTTTCAAAAATATTTAGAGATTTTTTATCTTTCACGATTTTTTAAACTTGAGGAACATATCCTCAAATTTACCATTTATCACATGTATTTTTTTACTTGATTTACTTATTTTACTTATTGACTCTAAGGAACATATCTACCTTGTAAAAAGCTGGTTGTAAGTATTAAATTTCAGTTACTGATTCAACAACCTAAAAAAATCTCCAAAGATAGTAAAACATTCTAATGCGTCAAAAAAAACCTTTCCTTAAACATGATAAATTGTATTACTAAATACGCTTCCTCTTTTTGAACTTTTTGGAAAACATTCAGAATTTAGAGCAGTGTTTCCCAAAGTGGTTAAAATAAACCCCCAGGGGTCTATTACGACCTGTAAGGGGTCCACACCAGTAAAAAAATAATTTGGGGGTCCATGGGCTGTCAATGGGAAAGGTTCTCATTAAACCGGATCATGACTTTAATCTTTAAAAAAAATTTGATCTATATAGTGGAAACCAAATTTTACCAGTTTATCATTTACTAAATTTAGTGAGGTTAATTTGTGGTTACTAGGTGATAGCATAAATTTTATTAACCTGTGGCGGCTATCTATATGAACTAGTACCAACATCACGCGTTGACGATCGTTTTGGCGTGATTGGTTACGTACTTGCGTTCGGAACGGAAGGTACCCAGAACGAACCTTCCTCCTTCATTGGTGACCCGGACGTGATTTGAACACGCAACCTTCTGATCTGGAGTCAGAAACCTTCCTCCTTCAAACCCTTTAGCGGGCAGTGGCTAATACGTCTAGCCACGTATTAAAAATTTTTTCTCAAAGCAGGTGTTGGATATTTAGTCTATCTATATGCTTTAATTGAAGCTAAAACGCATAAAAACTAATACGGATGGCAGCACGATACCTTTTTTTTGCATTTCATGTCTTTTGACGGGTAGTTAAAAGCAGTTTTTCTCGGTGTTAATCTACAAATTGTATTTTGATGACTATAAATAAAATTCTGATAGTTGAAAAATATTTCGACATGTCTTAAGTACCCTTTTCCCTCATCTGAATGAATTAAGCAATTGTACAATTGAAAAAAAAAAGGTTTTATTTAGGTTTTTGGAATCCTTTAATATGTGGATAGAGGCTCTATAACGTGAGGATGTTGGGGGTGGGAAATATAAACAAACTTTTTTACAATATGTGGTACAAGATTCCGGTTGAAAACCCTTTCCCTTACAGTTTTCCCCGGGCCGGGAGAAAACGTTTGCATATTATTAAGTTCCACAGTAAATAGCTCATCAAATTTAGGAAATAACTAATTTAAATTATCAAAAGTATTACTTTATTTCTAGATTTTCATACTAAAGTTAAATAAAATTTAAAATGTGGATATATACCAAGTTCAAAGTATATTCTATGTATTCTATATATTTTCTAAGTAAATATTGTATGTTGTACAATTATTCTATATTATTAAATTACACTTATACTTTGTATTTAATTGTTATTGAAATAGTTATTACATAAATGTTAATATTTCATAAAAAAAGTTTATTGCAATATGATTCATTATTTAAGTCCTGAAAAGAGTGTTAAATGTCCTAAATGCACAGTGGCTATAACGCGTCTAGCCACACACCACCCAGGAAAAAAACCCACGATTAGATATTTTTTTTTGTGACTAAATAATGTTTATAGAGGATGTGAACATTACATTTATCAAGTACTTTATCACAGAAAATTGTATTTTAGTTGCGCGCCCGTTAAAGGATTAAGACAAGGACCATTTCAGCATTTCTTTCCAAAATTTAGCTAAAGAAGTATAGTATTGGACATCGCGACTTTTCTCAATTTGTCACAGACAGTCTGTCAGGACATTTTAACCTACGTTCAACACTTAAATGCCCTTACTCAGATTTTGGAACTAGATTTGAGATTGCTTTTTTTATATTAATACAGCATTAGACAATGAGATTTCATATAGTCACTTTGAAAAAAAAATGTGTCGTATTACACTAGGAACAAATCAGAATAGGTCCTAACAAAGATCGTAAAATAAAGTTTAGAAACGGATGTCAAATTTTGGCTTTAAAAAGACATACCCGATATTTGTCGCAAATTATGGAATATCGTGAGAAAGTTTTTAATTGCTTTTCCTTGTGAGAGGGAGTTTCACTGAGTTTGCGAATCTCAAAAATATAAAAAAAAAGGGGAAAGAAAAAAAGAACTGGGCAATTACTAACAAAGGAGATTTAGGGTTAAACCTGACTAGATTGATATTAAATGTGGAAAATTTGTTTTTGAAGCACCGGATTCATCTCTCTCATTAAAAGCATTTGTTTGTTGTTCAGTTATTTTATGTAACAGTTATTTTATATGTATTAATTTCTTTTTAATTTTAATTCACTAACATATGCTTCTTAAGTCTTAAAAGGTCTGGTTAATTCTTTTGAAGTAGTAGCACCAACTATCAAAAAGATATTTAAATTGACAAATTTTCAAAAATTTAATATTACGTAAGCAGGGGTCTATCCGAAACCAAAAAACATGGCAAAGGGTCTATGAAACAAAAAAGTTTAGGAACCTCTGTGGTTTAGAGGAAAAAACATGTTCCTTTTATTTTACTGCTCTCCGTTTCAAATGCAATTGCAATTAATCTTATTAGATCCGTAAGATTTTTTTTTCTTTGTATAAACGCAGAATAAAAAAGTCCATAAAATCTAGATGTGCAAAGCCATTGTGCAATAAGAGCAGCCTTGTTGAAAACCACACCTATGGCTCCTTTCAAAAGCAATGGAAAGGAGCTGAATTGTCGCCAATTCAATTAAAGAAGCGTGTCCAATTTGTCATGATTCACAAATGTATATATTCATGCGGGGATCCCATGACAAATACATCATATTTCTAACGGCTCCCAAACCTATCAATATATCCAGAGAGAAATGCTAAATATGGATGAAGGAGAACTGCGCCAGGAGGAAAGACTGCACAACGACGCATGCGCCAGGGGCTTTATCTCACTGAGCTGAAAACTTTATTTCAACATGTCTTTCAAATTTGGGTGATCCAAATTTGATGTTCAGTGCCAATTTCTACATTTCTTTTAGTAGTTTGCCATTAAAAAGGTAAAAATAATTTTCGCGAGGAAATTTCGTTCAAGTTCCATTTTTGTATTAATTTATATGCAAAATAATGCAAATTAAACAAATGTACTTCAGTATAATTTACATTGTACTAAGTTAACTGTTTTAGCTATTTGAACTTTGATCTTTTGGTTGCGCGCGCGGTGAAACTATTTTTTTAATTCGATAAATGCTTTATAAATTGTCATCCAGGAGTTGTAGGTAACCCGAGGTTCGGCAGGGAATTTTTAAACCCTTTCCCAGCCCCCTAGGCACTTAAAATTTTCCCGCCCCCACTGTTCCTCCCTCTTTCAGTTTTTTGTCTTCCCATTTTTAACTCCCCGGATGGATTTTCCCTTTCTATTTTTCCTTTTTGGAAAGTTTTCCACTATCCACCCCACACCCCATTTCCCACCCCTTTTTTCCATTACAGCAAATGAATGAAATCGTTTGCAATTACAGTGCAGAGTTGGAACTGCTATCAACTTTTAATTATCATCGCTTATCGCTTTACTAAGTGTTCTAAATTTTCCCAATACTGGCCCCCCCTTTTAAACAAAATTTCTATCGGCCCCCCTTTATACAAATTAATTATAATGCAATAATAATGCACTTTGACGTAAAGCTACAAAAGATCTTAATTACAAACCGTACAAATTAATAACAAAAATTTTAAAATTTTGTATATGTTACTTTTAAAAAAAAAAAAAAAAATTAATAGGAAAAATTATGATGTTTTTTTTCCCTTTTCCTAATTTTTAAATTTGGGAACATATTGCAAAATGCGGTGGCTGCTTAGAAGACAAAATATAGATATCAGCTAAATATAAAAAAAAGAACCAGGGTCAATTTTAAAAACTTGCTCTGCAAGAAACCCCATAAGGAAATTTATTAAACATGTTCTTTTTTGATTAAAAAATAAGAAATTTTTTTTATATATGTTACTCTTAAGTAAAATATTTTAAGAAAATTATTTTTAAGTAATATGTTATAATTTTTTTATTTTTTTTCTAATTTAAATTTGAAACAGATTGAGAAATAATATTTAATTAAAAGATTTTTTCCTTCAAGACCTTTTCAAAAAGTAAAAAAGTCATTAAAAATAGCCTAATCTATGTTCTTTTATCATTCCATTAATCTGGCATTCCGCGAACTTTCAGGGAATCAGGCAACCTAACAGACGCTCAAAAACAAAAAAATGCTGTACCTGTAAAATTTAGTCGTCTTGGTGAATCGATTGCTCCCGAATCTTTTTTGAATGTGCTTTTTTAAATAGGGTTAATTGTAATTCAGGTATTGTTTTACGGCAGGGATTCAAAACATAGATATATTTTAAATCACAGCGAGCATTGGACGATAATAAAACATCAACAAGTAACGAGGGGCAAATTGATAGCAAGTTACGAATGAGTTGGGGATCCATTTCAAAATACTTCAAAAGGGGGCCCCAACGCCAAAAAAAATATTCAAGATTTCACATTCAGTGACGAAATTAAAGGGCAATTTTGTAATAAATCACTTTTGAATTCCGGTTGGGGGGATGCTGAATTGTTTGCATAAAAACAAAAGCATTTCGTTACATTACCTTTTTTAACATTATATTTTTTTGGAATCCGGATTTTTCTGCAATGGCTACTTTGAAGACAAAATATAGATTTTTGCTAAATATCAAAAAATAACTCTGAGTGTCAATTTCTAATTTTTTGCCTTCCTTTTTAAAAAATTTGCTTGCAAGATTGCCATGGGAACACTGATAATTATTAAACTTGTTCTTTACTGGCTGAAGTACCCCCTCTTTAAAACAAGTTTTTTTTTTAAAAAAAAGATAATACATTATTCTTGATATAAAGCTTAATTTAAAATAAAACCAAGGCATGACAATGTATACAAAATGTTAAATGATTTACTGAAATGAATACTCTATTATAAACGGTTTTGAATAACTGTAATTTTTAAACCCGCAGAATTAGATTTAGAATAAATGTTAAATAATAAAAAGAATATAAAATTTAATGAATAAAAGTGTTTTTTTTTGTAATTTTTAAAAAGCGGAAAGCCGGATAAAATTTCCTCGATAACAATGGCCGGGGGGAGTGATGCCCCCCAATTCTTTTTATAATTTTTTTCAATATAAAAAGATAAAAATCAAATTTCAGTGAATAATTTAACTAGGGGGAAAAATATATTACCTATTTAAAAGTTTTTCTTTTTTTTTCTAATTTGAAAAAAATTCCAATAAAACGAACTAAAGTTTCCTTGCGGATTTTAAAAAAGGAACAAACCCAGACATTTTGCTAACATTACGGGAAATTTTTTTGAAGAAAAACGTCCATTTTTTCTTTTTGGAATTTTAATGTCCTTTGATGATCAAAATATCCGTTGAACTTTTTTTGTTGTGTTTTTTGACAGGGGAAGTCATTTGCGTCCCCCAGGGGATATTTTCTTAATAAATTTCTGAATGATTTTAACTTTCCAAATGATTAATATGCATTATTTCAGCAATTTTTCCCTTTGTTTGATCCTTCAATTTCCTTTCAGAGATCACAGATCCTTTTTTTTTATATTTTGCTCATTTAATTTATAAACCAAACGCATACAGCACCAATTAAAAACCCCTAAGACCCCTTAAAATGCCCAAAAAATTTTTTTGGTGGCGTGGGGAACCCAAAAAAAGTACCT